GAGTATCGTTTCATGCTCTTTGCGCAGTTACCCCAGATCTACAAGAATATAAAGTCCAGTCGACATGTGGTCTCTCAATCTGGTTTCTGATTGAATGGTGTCTGGGCGACGCAGCCAACTTACTAGGAGCCATATTATTACGTCAGGCCGGGTGGCAGATTACTGTCGCGTCCTACTATGTCTTTGTTGATGTAGCTCTAGTAATCCAGTACTATTTTTATACCTATCTCAAGGATTGGCGATTACGAAGACGTGGTGGTTATATGCAGGTTAGCGATCCAGGGTTTAGCGACGGGGATATGTATAATGGCGTCGTACCCACCGAAGAGAACACCATTTTAGGATTATCCCCCACCTCGATACTCCCATCCGAACCAAAAACTGTCACCTCGAAAAAGGACTTGGGAGTTGATACCCCATTAAGCAGCTCTCTGTCTCGCCCCAATGAAAAACAACGCTCACCTCGAACCATCTATCGTGTTGGAGGCAGCAGCAGTATCACTCCCTCCAGTTCGCCACGAACTATCGTGTTTCTCTCCATGCTATGTGTCGTTCTGGCCAACGCGGCTGCCACTAGCCCCAGCGGGCAAAACGCCCCCATATTCACCCCGTCACAAACAGATGCTAGAAAAGTTGCTGGCAAAATTTCATCCTGGTCGTCGACCATTTTATATCTAGCATCCCGTGTCCCACAGCTCTACAAGAACTATGGCCGCAAGAGCACCTCGGGCCTCTCACCGCTTCTCTTCTTTGCAGCCTTCTGCGGCAATTTCTTCTACTCAAGTTCTCTCCTCACCAATCCCAACGCATGGTCGGATCTACCAGCGTACGGAGGTGGTGGATGGGTTGGTAAAGAAGGCAACAGCAGACTCGAATGGATTGGACGTGCGATACCTTTTTTCCTGGGGGCGTTTGGCGTCCTAGGCTTGGATGGGGCGATGGGCATTCAGTTCATGATTTACACAAAGAAGAACGAAGATGTCGATGCCGCCACCGACCTGCAACCTGCGGGACCGGGTCAAGGTCGAGGTAGCTGGCGAAGGGTTAGTGGGTGGATGAAGGGGTGGATTCCATCCGCTTCTCCGGAACTGAAATCCCCGTCCGTGGAGACGGAGGCGCGTATGGTAGATGGCCAATATAGATATGGTGCGGTTTGATGTCACCCATGCTACTACCTCAGAATCTTATCTTATTCTTTTTTTTCTTTTCTCTTTTTGGTTCAGTTTCTTTTGTATAGAATCCAGCTTACACTATCTTGCTCCTATTCTACCTTTTTATTTTCTACTATTTCTGCTAATTCTCTTCATATCTATTCTTTATCGGTTTTCACTGTGAATTTTTCTCATGATGACACGACAAAGAATCACATCCATCAGGCGTTATTTGATACCCTTCATTTGCTTGATGCTTTGGCCGTTGGCATTGCTTCGTTTGTCCCTAAGCTTGTCTTTCGGGTGCCCTTGCCCTGCTACATCATATTATCATTCTTATCTTAGAAGATGAGTACTGGCTAGCACACGTGCGGCGTTTCGAGCAGGTAGCTACTTACGCCTGTCTGTTTTTATTTTCGGGGTTTTGTTTTTTTTGGTCTACCTTCGTTTTGATTTTCGTTCTCGATTTCCCTAGCCATTTACCAATTCTCCTGTTGCCCCAAGATCCTTTTTTCCGTACAGTTTATAGGTATATACACATCATCATACAGGACATACTAGCTAGCCAGCAGCCTGGATATTAGATGGTTTT